TCATTTGCTTAGTTGGTTTTTATGGCTCTGTGCTAAGATATGCTTATCCTGCTGGCACACTGAAATGAGATGCAGGGAAGGAACGTTAATACCCCAGACTTTTAGCTGTGTGGCAACGGAGGAGCAGATGAGTTTTGCTAGCTTTTACAAAATAGTACAATTTAAAAACAATCCATACTGGAGCAAATGTGGCCTATTTTACCAACCACCTCTTTGCCAATTACAATGATTTTTTAACACAGTGCCACTGAGTGGCACAGTGGCCTCCTACCGGATGAAACTGTGAAATTACACAGGATAATATATTGCACAAATAGTACCTCAGTGTTGTATCAGCCTTCCTTGACTGATCTCTGTTTGAGCATTTGGGATGGTATTGAAAACAGCTTGACACAGCTCCACAAATAAGAAAACAACTTTTTTTGCTGCCAATTCTGCACTTTGAAGGCACTGAGTTGGCACAGCCAGCACTCAGACAGTGTCAAGACCAGACCTGAATGCTTTGTACATCTAGTGTATCTACAGAGATAGGCCCTCATTTGCCATGTTTTGAACTATGAACCGAATAACTAGATCACACAGCTGGCATCCCTCCTCAGTGCTACTTCTTCAGCATGCAACCCTCCTATCATCACTCACACTCCTTCAAGGCAATTAGTAGATGCAACATATTGGTCTGGGTTGGGGCCACAAACAGACAGTTAAAACTGGATTATTGACAGGCTGCTTTTCAAAACACCAGGGGATCATAGAAAGGATTATTTGTGGTGCTGTATACAGTAGTTACTCTTATAAAGCTTATCTTCGGCATGCTTTAAGAACTCAACTTAGTCTCTTAGCTGGATTTTCCAATGGACAGACAGAAACAAAATGAAACTGTTTATCCCTGTGGGTTGTTAAAGCAACAGCAAGTAAAGCGCTGTATGTTTTAGTCAAGCATATTAAAGGACACAGACTCTAGCTATACAACCAAAATATAAAAAGCAACAAAAGTAGTAAACATAAGAAATAAGGTCATAAAATCAGTCAGTCAAGACTTGAAGTTTAAATAGGTGTGGAGTTATAGAATTTTATACATACCATTACAGCATTTTCAATGCTCTAGATGTGGGCGTACTGTAGGAGAGAAAAAGAGTATTAACATTGCAGAAGAAACTAATGGATAAATACCAGTAGTGTTCTCACATTATGACGGTTAAAAGCAGTGTTTGTGTTGCAGAGGCTCAAAAGTGTTAGTGTGAAAAATCGAATCTCTCTAAAAAAAGCTTGACTGAGGTCTCTGTGACAAATCTTATATGATTAAATTACTGGGAACTATAAGGACTTTCTAGCACAATAAAATCCTTAGCTTTCCAATATACCTCACTGTGAGTTTAGTAGAAGATTTCTATTTAAAAATACCATGTCTTCTTGTAATGCACAGGGTAACCAAACACCTCGGACACTAGGTTTGTTGGCCATTCTACACACTGTATGTGATCTGCCCAATGTTCCAAAACATTAACTAGATTTTTTAACATGTTAAATGTTGCTAAATGTTCATACACCAAATAAAAACAACTAAGTCACAAATATCAAGCACCCGGGTCTAAATATGTAGAGATACACTGTGAGATAAAAAACAAAGAAACAAAAAACTCCACTCACTTCAGGGTGTTACCCATTTATAAAATGTGAATGTTTATTAAATGTTGACAGTAACATTAAAACACAGTATCAAGATTCAGCAAAACAATCTATAGTACCTCACTAAAAAAAAAATAAAAAAAAAAAAATAAATAAATAAAAAGGTTAGTTCTGTGACTGAAGGAATGGGACAGACTGAGGGAGGGCAGATGGGGGCAGGCGTGAGACCAAAATCAGAGCAATAAAGAAGCGGGGAGTCTGAGTTGGAGAGCTACAGATTGAGGGGAAACTGGTAGCAGATGGTAACGCAATTAAGGAGGTACACAGTATGAAAGATACAAGGTTTTGGGACCTGAGGGGTTGGTCAGTAGGGTGGTGGGACTGTGTGTTGTAATGAGTGGGATAACTGAAAATGATTAGTCTCTGATTTCACTCTTTTATCATCTCTTTTGTTGGAGATTCAGCAAGTTGCACCAGAGAGCGTTACTATAAAGGCCTTCACTCAATAAAACACAGAAAGGAGCATGGCAAATAATACCCGCCTTTACATTTAAATAACAAGGGGCAACATAGCATTAACATATAGAGTGAGCACAACGTGATGTTAAGATGAATAAAGATCTCAGGGTTTGAGGGTAGAAGCGCAGCTGAACACAGACAAGAAGGTGGCGTCCACTCTAATGAGTTCACAATCACAATAAGTAATAGTTCATTATAATTATGTAAATCTCTCTATTATCAACACAAATAGCAGGGGAGGCAAGTTGTACATAAACATCACATTACTTCAAAATTCCATAGAGAGACACACAGTCTCCCGTTCTCTTGTCTGGCTCATGCACATGGGCATGTACAAATCAAAGCATGTGCATATATGTGTACACACAGAGACACTGTAGACACTCACACACACAAACTCACACCCTGTCTAGCACAGAGACACACATTTGCATACGTTCATTCTCACACACAGCTCTTTCTCCTTAAGTGACTTCACACATTTCCAATGTATTTTAAATTTGCCATATCCTCTGACATTATCATATCTCATACTCTGTGCCATAATTACATTAACAAGTATTTGTAACATGTGTCTGTGCTTTGATGTTGAAGAGAGGTGGCAGTACTCCACTGGGACATGCTGTACAGTTGTATGTACACAGCCGAGGTGCTGCAGAAACACGCACAGCACTCAGATCCTTCCGAGCACTGTGATGACAGAAAAACACACAGCTGTTCCAGCGTCAGAGATGTTCAGTGCAACACTGTTCAGTTCTCACTGCCAACTGGGGCAATACCTTTCAGAAAACACCGTCTCCCAGTGTCAGAGCGTTTTCCAAAGCCAAGATGTCAGAGAGGTCGCATGTGTCAGCAAAGCAGCTAATGCCTAAGGTTCCAGTTCTCTCCCATGTTGTGCCTCCATAAATGATTTATATTTGTGCTGCAGATTTGAACGGACATATGCTTGAGGGATAATCTTACTGCTTCGCTTCACTTATAGTCCGCCTTCCGAGCAGCACTGGCTACTCCCACCTGTCGTCCAGGTAGAGGAAGTGAAAATAATCTGTAAGTGCATCTCGCTTCAGTTCTTAATCTTTTAACTGGTGGATTTAGTTGTATCCATGTGCTTCAGTTGTCTTGTGTTTCAGCATAGTAAGAAAAGAGATTCACATGCTCTAAAAGTCATACAGACTGTACAATGAAATCTACAGATATTTTTAAAGCTTTAGTACATTCAAAAAAAAAAGTGATGAAACTGAAAAAAGTCGTTTCACCAACTTTAAAAAAGAGAAAAAAAGAAACATTTGAAATGTGCAATTTCCTGCATGTTTTTTCTTCATAATGTTGTTTTTCTTTTTCTCTGGTTCTTTTTTGTTTGCTTTTGGCAGTTTTGTTTGTGCCATAACACACTGTAGAATTCCTACTCAGAAGAAGAAAGACTGGTTGAGAGCATCAAATCTTATTTTACAGCAACCTACTTTCTGTTTGCATGACAAGTGAAAATGTGTCAAAACAAAAAATCCCATAATAATCACAAAACAAAGAAATTACAAAACAGAGGATGAGTCAGGTAGGTGGGAATGGAGGTTGTTGACAAATATGTGTCATTTTCTTATCAGGTCCATGGAAATAAGACTGATTCACCACTTATTCGGTTATCCCACAGGTCTCCTTCAAACTGCCGCTGTCCTTTCCTTCCTATTACATGTATGTACATTAGAGGCTTTGTTATTTCATGTTAACTACTAAAATGGAGAGACTGAAGGTATGCCAGTCATGCATCATGTTTAGTCTGTCTGTGCTAAACACTTTAGTCGATTAAGACGCTCTACTGAACCCGTGACAGGAAATTGATCGTGGTACAGAACTCGGTCTGTCTGTTTTCCTTCCACTGTAGGCACACTCACACGCACACACACACAGGCATACACATGTACACACACAAAGTGCTGGGTTACCATCTGTGATTGCTGCATCAGTTGGCCAGTACTCAGCTGGCAGGCAGATCAGACAAAGTGCCCAATATGCTCCCTAATGGCCCAAGTCAGATGAATGAGATCCTCCACTGTCTTCTTCTTGTTTCTCTTTTTCATCCTTTTTGCACCTCCTCTTCTCCCATTTCCTTGCTTCCCTTTGATTTACTCTGTGCCCCCCACCCCCCGACTCCTTCGACTAATTTAAATCTTGTCAAATTGTCTCAATCTCTAAGTCTCTGTCTTCCTCTCATTATCTGAGGCTCTGCACTTCTTGCCACTATCCTGGTGGGTCTCATTCACACTGATTAAGGATGTAAATGTGACTTGCTGTAGTGTGACCATGGCACAGTCTCTTCTCAGGGGTAAAACTCTAGACTTCTTTTTCAGAGGGGAGAAAAACCCCTGTTCATATTGTGTGTATGGTTTGTCTTTTTATATTATATTTGGGTTAACCCTTTTCATTCACAGATTAGGAACGGCCAGCGAGCCTGACCCACAGTCTAAGTGCCATGTCAGCAGATGGGAGGTCAGGGTTAAATGGCAGTAAGGAAATCACTGCTGTGCGATTCTGCAGGGAATGGTTGGACCACCTTGGTAGAATGAATAAAGCGCAGTGGACAGTGGGCTCAGGGTTCTGGTATGCTGTGTTTCTGATATGAAAGTTAACTCATGATTAATCACAAATTAATCGCACGTTTTTATCTGTTCTAAACAGTGGCGGTAACTAAATACATTTACTCAAGCACTGTACTTAAGTACAATTTTGAGGTATCTTGTGATGAAGTATTTTCATTTTGTGTTACTTCATACTTTGACTTCACTACATTTTAGAGGCAAATATTGCACTTTTCACTCCACTACATTTATTTTAAACCTTTAATTATTAGTTACTTTTCATAGAATGATGAATAGAAAAAAATTAACCCGTATAATTATAAGACCTCAGTGATCTATGGTGGAAAATTCACAACTTACCCAGCACTAATTACTTGTTACATTGTTGTATTGCTTGAGTAAAGTATCCGAGTACTTCTTCCACCACTGGTTCTAAATGTACCTTAAAGGGACCCTGAGGTAACTGTGATTACTGAGAAGTCCAGTAGTTTCCGATGAGCACAACCAACATTTGTCTGTCCCGATGCCTCCTCCACTTTAGCTTTCTCCTGTTGTGTATCTTGGTTACACTGGTAGCTCTCAAAGGCAATTCATGCATGCAGTCTGTGGATGTGATGCAAATTATTTCAAGCAGACCCTTGTCCTCCACGATGTTAATTGGCCTGCAAGCTGTAGCCGCCCGTTTAGCTATCGTTGTTGAAAGTTTGTTGCTTGTAGAATTGTCCAGGTGTCATTGTTCCAAACTAACCAGTGTGGTCTGCCTTTGGCGAGGGGGTGGAGGGCTCTCTGCATCAGCTGTGTGCAAGTGGTATTTGAGACTCGACGCACTCTGGTGGTAACTCAATTCACATCGACAGTAAATGCAAATAACTTTGGACTTGTCAGGAGAACCATCTGGCAGGGCTTTCAAGCTGAACTTGCCATTCAAAAAACCCTTTTCTTTATCCATTTCTGCTCATTTCTGCTGCTGCATCGCTCCTTGATTTCGCAAAATACGTGGTGGGCCCAGGGTCATAATCACAGAATGTCTGTGCATTAATTGTGCATCAAATAAATTATTAGTGTTAAAAGAAATTTGCATTGACACATTATTATTGAGTTAACTTTGACAGCGCTAATATATATAAAACATGGGGGGGTTATGGCAGCTCTAGCAGCTGAATGATGGTGGAAGAGCAGCAAAAAGGAAAAAAGGAAGAGACATCAGGGGGTAAACAGTTAAACTAAACCCAACTAAAAAAGGAGTGTTTTAGTGAATAAAGAACAGCAAAACAAGTAACTCCACCTACTGTAGCTGTCAGACATTGTTTTTTGTAATGTGTAAAAAAAAAAAAAAAAATTCTTCTTTTTCCTGCTTTCTCTTTTGTCAGTTTCATTTATTCTCAGGGTCGCGGGTGGGCCGTATCTTCATTTCAGAAAACTTGAGGGAGTACTGCCAGCCAGTCCAGGAGGACCACTCGATGCCATCAGCATAGGAGGTGTGCTGACCACGCAGGTACTGGCCATTAAGGTTGGAGGTGTGACAGTTGCGGTACCACCAGGCACCATGGTAGAAGGAGGCGCAGTTATTCTCTGAGTGGTCGTTGTCCCTGTCCTTGGTGGTAAACTTCATCCCATTGTGCTTCAGGAGAGAGTCACCTAGGGAGGAAAAAAGATGTGTAACAAAATACGAATGTGTCTGTGTTATGCATAAATATAAAGAGTAGAAAAGAGATATTAGTTTATTTAAAATATATATTGGCAAATTTGCGTTATATAATAAAATAGGAGCCAGAAAATATAAACATTTTAAGTAATAGCTTTACATCTTCTCTGTCTTGCACTAAGACAGTCTTGATTCTAATACCAGAAAACAGTCACAAGTGCTTAACTTCAAAATGGTGTGGGACTTGTCAGTTATTCATTTCTATAAACAGAGAGCAAAGACAGAATAAAAAATAAAGCTCCACAGCTCTCCAGAGCATTGCTTCTCATTATCTAAAGCTGGAGGTCAGCCGGCTTCATAGCCAATTTATCAAAGGTTCCATGGTGACCTTTTTATCTTCCTTCAGCGGGATGTCTGTCAGTTTGTGGACAGACTTGTAATAAGAGGAGAGAAAAACACAAAACACACCGTAATTTATCACGTGTTAATTTCATTCTTGCACAATAATGTATGACTACTGCAGGGATGTTGCACAGGCAGGTTGCAGCAGCTAAATGCCTTTAATCATGGTCTGCATGGTATGTCGCAGCTGCACAATCAAATTACAGAGCTGAAAATATCCACCTACAGTCTACAGATTTCTCAATGACAAATTGTCTACATTGATAACTGCTTTGCAAACTGCTACTCTAAGAGGCTTACATGCAAAATGAAAGCAACAACCGTACAAATATTGTGGTAGACCTAAAGGTTTTTAGAAAATAGATGTTCAAAGAGCTTATACTGTTCAATACTCTCCCCATATGTCCCCTTCACTCTCTGTCCTTTTCTTTTTTCTAAAGCAGGCTTCACACTGTGACCAGAAGTGGATAGAAGTATAAAGCTGAGAGGAGAATGAAAGCTCGCTCTCCAGCCATCAGGTGATGGCTAACAGCTCATCAGGGCATCAAACAGCCCCTAATTGCCCAGAATGTGCCCACCTAGCTCCTTACCCTATCACTCTGTCCTACGGTGCTTTCCATTTGGCATTACCATAGTAACCAGTCATAGAGAAACATTATCTGACAGGTATTTCTGATATTCATGTTGTGTGCTGCTCAACATTAAGACAAAAGAGAGTGTGAGAGACAGAACAGTATGAATAAGCAGCTCAACAGTGTTAACAATAGGATGATGCCCAGAGGATGTAAAAAAAAGAGGACAACAAAACAAAACAGAAGCACTTAAAGGCTCATTTGCAAGGAGCTGCTTTTCACCTCGGTGGCTGAGGGCCACCAAACTCCTCTGATGCCCATTAGGATCCAGCTGCTTCCAGCCCAACTGAGCACCTGTCAGCTGATCAGAAAGCAGCCACAGCAGAGCAAAGTACTGCTAATAACAATAACAACAGCAAGACTGCTCAGAGTGAAGCTGAGGTGAGAGTATAACTTTGAAAACCCTTAATTTGACTAGATTCAAATATCCAAGATGCAGATGAGTTCAAGGTCAGGCCATGATGTCATTTGTCTGAGCATTATTATCCGACTCCATATCTGGTCAAAAAGCTGTTTCACATTATCTCTCCCCATGCTTTCCTTTCCTAGCTCTCCACTCTTCTTCCCTCTTTATGCCTTGGATACCTATATCTTATTTTTTCATACTTTACTACTTCTTCCTCTCTTCTCTTTCTTCTTCTTTTCTCACACCTGCCTCCTTCATTCCTCCATCCTAGTTTCTTCCAGCCCTCCCTCCTTCCTCTCTGCTTCTCTTCACTGCTCTATCTCTCATATCTGTCCCCATTCTCTCTGTGTTCTCACAGCAGCGTTCCCCAAAGGTTCTTTAAATTGCTTCTTCATTTCAACGGCAGGTTTTTGTTTACGCTGCAGGTCAAGCAATGCAATTAATTGACAGTAATTTAATCAAGGTGACAGGTGGATCTGGTGGTTGGGGAGCAGAGAGGCGACACCAGCGGTTCCTCTCTCTGTGCAACTGTCTGCATGGTTTAACAAGTGGACACACCTACTGCACTGTAAAAATAACATACCATTACTTTACAAGAAGGTGGTGTGCACTAGTAGCTGGAGGTTTCATCCGCTGCTGTGAGTTTTGTATTCGCAATTAGGTTAGATGAAAAAAAAATGTGCTAAGGCAAAAATAGTACATAATAATCAGAGTATGAGCACAGAAATTCTTGCAAATTAAATCTAACTAGTTCACTGTATGTCCACATACCTGCATTACCAGAATAGTCTCCTACAGTCAAAGGGTATCCATCATCATCAGGGTCCACTGAGAAGAGGCCCACTCCAAAGGTACCATACTGGGCGTATGCTGTGCTGTTCTCAAAGTCCTCCAAGTCGATACGAAGCTCATAGTTCCCCTGGATGGACAGGGCATGGATCTGCTTCAGTCCTGCAGGGGAAAAGAGCGAGACACAGACCAAAACAATCCATTACATAGTACTACCATTTTTCTCAGCAAACATTATAAAGCTATTTCTGCAGCCTCTCGACCCTGTACATTTTCTGGAATTATGATGTAACATGGTTTTTGTCCCATTTACAGTCTCCCCTGCATGTGTAGGGTTTCTTTCCAGAACAAGATTAGAGTTTCTTTTCAAAAATGTGCAGAGGGTCTACCGCTAACACAACTGTTTGTCATGAGTAGGGAGACACCAGCCAAATCCACTAAATCAATATATGTGATCTTAGAATTAAGTCATTATGCCAACTATTAACATTGCTTCACACTGACATAATCTACAGTTTACTTTGTCAGTCATATTGATATAAGATTATCTCTGTCACATAGATATTTATGTATTTACTGTATGTATGATATGTATGTTCTAAACACACATTTTCAACCACATTTGGCCGACACAATTCATATCTCGAAAGGAATAACAAAATTCCTGGCTGCTGTATAATTATTATAGTCATTTCAAAGCTCATTTTGAAGCTTGCCATAACTTCGCCAGATGCTTCGCCCAATGATTTTTTTATTGTAGCTCTGTCCTTTAAAGAAAGTGTGTCAGACGAAAGGGGGGAAAAGTGTTTTCATCCCTTCTTGCTTGCCCATCCTTCTCTATCCCAGGTCAAGTTGCCTTCTCCTGAGACGATCAAAGGTACCAGAGCAATAGTGTGTCCGGCAGAGAGAAGCAGGAGGAGCTTAACCTGGGTCCCTTGAAGGTCAAGGCAGGAACAAAAACAAGAGTGAACTGAGCCTCGAGATTCTAATAAACAGCCTTGTTCCATGCTTACAAATGTGCTTTATACATTTGCGGTGTTTGTTTGGAATACAAAAAAATAGAAAGAGCATTTGAACTTGTGCACTGATAGAGAGGCTTCAAAGGCTTCATGGTTAACAACAAGGGCTGCATTTAGAGCCTGTACAGGACGTTGTAGGCTGCAATTGCTGGTTGAAGGTTTGTTTTACACTCAATCCTGAAATGTGACTCAGAACCAGCATGAATGTAGGTTTTTATGAACCTGAACAGTCATTTTATCTCCTATAGCAATTATCACTTTCACAAATGAAACTCATTCTCCTGAAAGCATACAAACCTCGAACTGACTTTGCCTAATTTGAATTCCATTGCTGTCGAGAATTGCACTCTGAGAGCGCCTCGTCTGAAGTAGAGGGCTAATTTGATGACAAACACAGCTGAAAGAACCCATTATTATTCAGAGACCGAAACTTGCAGTCTGGGCCCAGGCACTTAGTTTGAATTTAATCTAGCCCAGTGGGAGGTTGATCCTGCTCTTTTCATTTTCACACAGGATCAGCAAAATGGAGGTGGAGAATCAGTCATTAATATATTTATAGGAAGGTAACTTCACGCATGTCAGTTTCCAGTTAATTCTTGTATAGGGATATTAATAGTCAAGTATGTATGCGGAAAACATGAACAAAAAATACAACACTTTTCACATATATTCAGAAATACAAAAATGACTCATTTACAGAAATAGTTTTTGTGTCGTAGACCTTTGAGAAAAAGTATCAATCCACACAAACACCTAAGGGAAAAGTAACCCTGGAGCGATTTGACAAACTTCAAAAGAAAAACTTAGGATGTTTTCTCTTTCAGAAAACAAAAAAACAGATGCAATATGACTCTATTTAAAGACTGCAGCTTCCAACTGTATTTACATAACTTTAATTCAGTTCCTAATTAAAGCTCTAGAGAATCTCAGCGAGATTCTATTCAGAATAATTAAAGAGGAAGACAAGTGAAATAACAACAGAAACTTCTTTGCTTAAAATCTAAATGCTCAGGTGTAACTCCCTGTTAATTAAATGCTACTGTTAGGTTATTCAAAATGGGTTCTAATACAGGGGAGAATTTGAGGTGCTTTGCTTCAGTATTAACATGCTGATTGCTCCATTGGGGAGAGATTCTTCTTTTTTTCTCACTGATTTGCCATTTAAGGGAAGATTAGGCAAGAGTCAAAAAGTGTCTGTCCTCCTACATGCTTTAGATGAACAATTAGTGTGTGCTTTTTTAGTCCATTTATTCTGACTGCCTATTTAGATTTGTGTTATTGCTCATCTACCTTATATTTCACTTTATATAAGACTTGTATTTTGTGGCATTAGTGTGGATGGCAAAATAAGAATTTCATTGTACAGGGAAACACGTTTCCTAACTGTGCATATCACAAATAACCACTTTGACCTTTGACCTTTATATCTGGGCAATATTAGGACAGTGTGCCTTTACTGAAAGGCTAAGGTTGCTCCTGTATTTTTTCTACTATTGAGGTCTTGTAGAAGGGCCCTGTGTTAAGATTTAGTTTTAATACTATTTAATGAGTCAGTATTTATGCTTAATATTTCCTACACAGTGCAAATTTAGCCAAATTATCAGCAAACCTGGGGCAATAATACTGACTGGTTTCTGTGACTCTGAGCAGAATAAGCTGAGGGGATGTGTGTGTATGTGGTGCCCGTGCTCGTTGCTGCCTCGGGGCCTCCTAGTGAGCTAATCCAACCCTGCCTTGAGTTACTTTTTTTTTTTACAGTGAGTGCAATTTTAGACATTACTATTCAACAACAAATTATAAATGTGTTGCAGTCTTCTTTGTATGTTTCTTTACAGATAAATCTTTATAGTACACAAACAGTAATAAAGAGTACAAGCATAATTACTCACTGTCATCTAAAAAGAAGATAAATATTACTGTTAAAATCAGCATCTCATTTTGAACAGTCGATGTACTTGCTGATAAGGAATCGCAGTTAGAGTGTGCCTGGTTAACAACAACATCAATGGGACAAAAATCTTTAAGTATTCTTTGCCATTAAATCATCCATGTCATTACAGTCTCTGTTCCAATATTTGCAAACAACAGCACTGTGCTGTGCCTTTCATGGTATTAAAAACAGGACATCCACTGAAAGCTAAACACCATCTTCTTCAAGTCCATTATAAAGACTAATAGGTGGATAAACGGCACAACTCTGCTACACATGAAATGCATGTGGATAATAAATGTAGGACATTAATACACGTGGGAGCAACTATTGGTCTGCTTTGGTAATATATTTATGATAAATGACAAAAGAAGTGATATGTATCTACAATTACCTTATTAAACTAGGTCATGTTAATCCATAAGTCATTGTCAAAGCTCTGAGGCTTATATTTAGTTTAAAACATGAAGACACATGTTTGTCATTTTTATCTTGGGTTCATTCTGACAGAGGACGACGTGTTCTTCAGAACAAAAATGAAACAAAGCTCAAACCTTCCTGACACTGATTAAACCACTACCATCAAATATTCCTGCTCCTTTATCGACCCTAAGGTCCCCTCCTAAGGGGACCCTTGGGCTGAACGGAAAATACAGGAATGCTACGCGAGTTGTGATAGCCAACCCCCAACAATGTATACATCAAAATGTTCAGCAAAACTTCGGCTACAACGTCATATAAATTGTTATGGTTCCTTGATGGGTGTGGAGCTTCAGGGGTTAAGAGGTGTGAGAGCGGGAGGGAGAGAAGTGTGGAGGGGATTTGAGCTACAGAGGGTATTAGCCGGTTGTTAATCTTTTTTTCTTGGTGTTGTTGGGCTGTTGTTTTGGCGTGGTTACGGCCAACAGTAACCGGTTGTGTGGAGTTAATAAAAAAGCGACTTTTCGTTGGCACTCACGGTTGCCTTCCTCGTGTCCTGCGGGACGCTACATTTGGTGTCAGAAGTGAAACGCCGAAGTTACGTCTGCCTCCGCCTTATCGGGCCTTGATAAACACCTAACTAGATGGCAGCGCGACGGGTGAGGAGCCAGGCTGGGGTGTGAGTGACGGAGGAACTTCAGGATGGTGGTTATGCAGCGATGCCGGGGCGTGAGAGAGGGTTTGACCAGTCTCCAGAACACGTAGCCCGCCTGAAACAGATGGCCAGGAGCCTAGCTGCAGTCGCTGGTTTTGGAAAAACGGGGCCCGATGGCGGCGCTCTGTGTAACCAGCCCCAGGTGAAGACAGCGAAATATAATGGTAAAGCTGACTGGGAGGCTTTCCATGCACAATTCGAACTGTTGGCTCGATCAGGTGGCTGGTCAGAGGACGTTAAAGCACTTCAGCTGGCCATGTGTCTTACTGATGAAGCTTTAACATGCTTGCTGCTGGTTAGCCCAGCTGAAAGAGGTGACTATGGGGCTCTAGTTGGGGCCCTCCAGCGACGTTTTGGACAATGTAACCGGCCCAGTGTTCTGCGTTCCGAGCTGGCAAACAGGCAGAGGCGTGATGGTGAGCCACTTCGTGCACTGGCTAATGACATTGAGACCCTAGATAGAGGCTGTGGGAACGGCTGCTGCGAGTGATTTAGCTGGAGGCCATCATGTTGTGAGGATTGTAATGCCAGAGGGGCCGGACCACAAGAAACTGGCGTGGGCTGTTGAACTGACTGAACTGATTAGGGCGGTGTCGCTGCAATCTCCACGCAGTGACACCCATCCTCGTCGTGGCCCTCCGGTGTGCTGGGTGTGTGGCCTGGCTGGTCACATTAGTGTGAGGTGCCCAAAGCAGGTTGGTGGGCAGGGAAATGCTCCGGGGTCTGTGTAAATGGGACGACCCTTTTCCTGCGTCCCACCCTTCCTTGCTTCCCAGGGATGGAGCCCCACTGTCAGGCTGGGGGAGCGGGGCTCCATCTGTGAACAGTGACTGGTACAACTGCGAACAGTGACTGGTGTGCTGACCCCTATGCTGGGTAAGGCGGTGATAACTATCCAGGTAGGTTGGTGGACAGGGAAACGCTCCGGGGTCTGTGTAACTGGGACGAAGCAGGCCCCTTTTCCCGCGTCCCACCCTTCCTTGCTTCCCAGGGATGGAGCCCCACTGTCAGGCTGGGGGAGCGGGGCTAGTAGATGACATCGCGGAGGCTGTAAGAGTGGTGGGCTGGACGCACCTGG